AAGGAGCCCCTGGGCAGCCTGTGCCCAGTCCTGGCAGCAGGATGTGTGAACTCATATGAAAACTACCTGCTGGGGCCCCTCTACTCAGGGTCTTCTAGGTGTAATTAATCATAGAATGATCAGAAGCAGGGTTTCAACAGATTTTATTTGTAATTAGCTCCACCCTGATTTTTAAAAAGTTGACATATTTAATGAAGAATTTGGAAATACAAAAATGTAAAAAGAAGAAAAAACAAAAATCTGTTGTAGCCTTGTCATCCAAACACAGTAATTGCTATATTTTTGACATGTTTCCTTCTGATGTTATTTTTGTTTTGATTTTCACTCCAACATATGTTTTTCATTGATTCAAGAGAGAGAGAGGAATAGAGAGGGAGCGAGAGAGAGAAACATTAATGTGAGAGAAACATGGATCAGTTGCCTCCTGTACTAGCTCCAACTGGGGATCGAACCTGCAACCTGGGTGTGCGCCCCTACCAGCAATCAAACCCACTACCCTTTGGTGCATGGGAGGACACTGCAATCAAATGAGCCACACCAGCCAGGGCTGATGCTGTTCTTCCTTTTTAACATGACTGTAGTCACATTGTAATAATAGCAGCTAAATATATTAACTCATTTAAGTCTCAACAATTCTTTGAGGTAGGTACTATTATTACCTCATTTCACAGATAATAAAGCTGAGGCACAGGGAAGCTAGTAACTTACACAGGTTCCTCAGCAAATAAGGCCGTCTGCCTCCAGACTCTGCATATGCAGCTTGCAGTCTGTCTTTGAACTTAACTTTATATTAAATGCATTTTCCTATTTTCTTCAGAAACACAGCTTTAATGGCTGCCTAATATTCGGTCAAGTAAATTTCCCATAGTTTACTAAACCTACCTCTCTAATTTAAATGATGCAACTGCCAATTAAGTAGTGTTTGTGAATGAGGCTTTTTCTGTATTTAGGATCACAGAATTTCCTTAGGATAAATTCCTAAATCTAGATTTAAAAGGTACCAGAAAATGACAATAAGTCTTTTGATACACATTGCCAAATATTTTCTAAGAGGATTGCACCTGGTCACACTGCCACTGGCCCTCAAAAAGTGATTAATAAATTTGATGGGCAAAAAAACCTGCATTACTGTTTTCAGCAGTTATCCTTGCCATCAAAAAATTTTTAAACTTTTTGTAAACATTCTTTTTTATGGCTGCATCTAAGATACTTTTAGATTTCTTCCTTTTTGTTCCTGTTTTTGGTCTCAGACCTGGAGCTAGATTCTTGGTTAATTTGCATGTTTATTGTAAAGGGTAATGACGAATAATTAGAAAAGAACTGGGGGAAGGGGAGAGCCAGAACAGAAAGTCCTCAACTGCCAGTCCTGCTTTCACTTGTGACGGAACTACTGGAACTTGGGGCCTTAGGGCCACCTCCAGGGTTACCCTGCTAGCCTGCCGCTAACACAATGACATCACTTACCACAGGCACGTAATAGAAGCTCAGTATATATCTGCTGGAGGAGTGAATGTATTCTATGTAGGTCCACCATATGGTGACCTAGTACCTGATAGTAACTCTGTAGCTTTAATCATTGCATCGCAGTCCCTTGGTTAAAAAAAAAAAAGTTTGCATCTGGGATCCCAGGTCCTGGCCTTATTAGGATCCTAGAGGAGTGGCCAACCAGAGGTCTTTTAGCCCAAGGCAAAGAATTGAGATCAAAGCTTCCTGGATCTCTCAGGGGAGGACCAGGTCCTCAAGTCAAAAGGACTGGCGTTCCCTCAGTACCCCAGCGCTGACGGGGAGAGGGGAGAGGAGGCAGATTAGGGGAGCAGGAGAGGCGAGGGAGGCGCCGTTCTCAGCGGCAGGGCGAGGGTTAGTGTTCACAAAGACGCCTCAGAGGCCCGCTGAGCCCCCAGCTGGGGTTTCTTACTAGAAGGAGCCCTTGCTCAGCGCGGCCTCTCTGGCTCCCTTGGAGCCATCAGAGATGATGCCTACTTCTGCCTTCCTGAGACTGTGGGACTCACTCAGATGAGTTGTTATTTGACTGACATCCCTTTGCCTCCATGATTTAAAAATTAAATTTATTAGAGTGTATTGGTTAATAAGATTATATAGGTTTCAAGCGTACAATCCTATGGTACCTCATCTGTATATTGCATTGTGTGCCCACCACCCAAAGTCAAATCTTCTTCTCTCACCCTATATTTGATCTTTGCTTCCGTTTTTATGAAAACTGTACAATGTGAAGCTTCACGGTTTGCTAGTCTTGAGTTCTTTAGATGACACTGGGGCAAATACTGCCTTCTGCCTTTAGAATCTAAAGATTTGTAAGAAAAACAAATTTACAGAATATTATTACGATGCATGATGCTGCCACTAAAGAGGTGAAATTTGTAGGAAGGCAGCCATCCATACAAGCATACCTTACTTTAAAAATTAAATATGAAGTATTTCAAGGCTATGGGTATTCCAGTCATTTCTATGGCCAGTCGAGGGTGTGCATGTGTATAAAATTAGGAAGCGCGTCACGTGGAAGGAATTGAGCAACTATTTTCCAATTCATGTGACCCAAAATGTAATTATGGAAATTTATTTGTTTTAAGTTTGCTTTTTTAAGTTTAGCATGGCCAGGAGTTCCCAAATCATGTTATAGTTTCATACCTTACACCTCCAATGTAAAGGCCCCACTTTATCTCGCAGAGTTTTGTTTGGTTGTTTCACTTTTTAACTGCAGAATGATGGGCCAGCCTAGAGCCCTATGTAATGAGTCTCGGTGGGGCCAGACACTGGTAGTTACTTAATGGGGAGGTAATTCTAATATGCAGCCAAGGTCCAAAATATTCGCCTAGGTGACCTCTCATATCCTTCTTTGGCACCAAAATGGTGATTTCTATCCTTTTAAAATTTAAATCAAAGTAAATAAATCCAGATTCACCTCTCAGATAATTTTGCTTTAAAACATATTCTTAAATTCAGAGATCTCAGAAGTCCTAAAATGAAATTTACTTCATAAGTGACCCAACCCCATGAAGTATTTTGTATAGATCTTTTGAATTTGGAAATTTTATGTTTGCCACATTTCAGTATTTTTAAATGAGTTTTAAGTCAGTTACCAAAAATTTTTTTTCCCCTACCTTTTGAGAGTCAAGATGTGGTCAAAGTTTATATTTCCAGGTGGAAATCAAAAGAATCAAATGAAAATGTTTATGGATAGAGATAAATGAGAAATGAAGATATTGAATCTTTACTATTAGCTTGGGATGACAACTCCTTGTGCGTGCGTGTGTGTGTGTGTGTGTGTGTGTGTTCACACATGAGCCTCTCCTGGGGTCCAGGAGGAGCAGCTGATGTTGGGGGAGCACCTCATAGAAACTATAGGGAGAGGTGGTGGCAGACTGCAGCCATGGGGCCAGCAAGCTACCAATTTCAAGGCCGTATCCACCTATGAACCCTTTTTCTCGAAGACTATGTCACCATCAACTTTTTAAAATGTAATTAAACTGGAGATGGTTTTTATTTTCTTGTTATGAAACCTATGAGTCCGCACTAAGGACTCAAATGACTATATCCCATGTCTACACAGCAAGAGTATCTGCGGCAAAGAGATGCTGAGGTTGTAACCTCTCCATGAATAAATCAGGAAACAGAAAGATCCATGTTTGGTATTTAGATTAGAAATACAAGGGAAAGAAGTAACATTATCATCAGAAATGTGCATTTCTAAAGATATTCATTTGAAAGTTTTAAAAAAAGTCAAGCTCATGCCCCGGGGCTTCTGGGAGTTATGTACAAAATACAATAATTAAATTAAGTCCAGCAGTTAAAATTCCTCATAAAAAGAAAAAGCTGGCGCACTTCCCAATGGGGAATGCTTGACTTAAAAGAAAGGTTTTACTCCGTGGCCTGGAGGTCAACAAACTGGGACTCTGTGGGAATGTATAAAATTTCTTAAAGGGGTTCCTCGGCCTTTGTTTTGTTGAAAGAAAATAAAAGAGTAAAAGGGGACAAGTTCTGAAAATTAAAAAAATGAAGGTGCAGTCCTAAAATCATCCCGATTTTTATAAACGCAGCACCGGAGGCTAAGAAAACATGCTCTCTTTTCTGCAGACTAATCTAACACATATGCTCATTGAGAAGGAAGGAAAAAGGCCAATGGCGCCATTTGAACAAACCATTTTAAATGTTCTCATTTTCAGAGGTAGTGCATGCAAACTCGTGACCCACTCATTTGCTGCTTATTTTGAAAATATTTACCTTAAATATTCTCATAAATATATTTCACAATTTAAAATTCCTTAGGTGGCACAAAGACTGACCTTTTTAATTTTTTTTATGAAGCAAGGTTGTAAAAACTGATTTGGCGGGGGAGGGGTCCTCAGTAATCTAAAGTGGAACATTTGTCATAATTGGAAGGTATCTGGTTTTATAAATAATTGTTTATTATTACCTTTCTGGCAATGTGTCATCCCCCCCACCCTCCCCAGGAATAAGAACAGGATAGAAATCAAATTTTATATCCTTGAACTCTGTTACTCATAAGCATCATTCTGGGTTCCCATGTGAGTTTCAGGCTGCATACTCAGATAATTTCTACTAAAACATAAAGAACCAATACCGATTTGACAGATCCTCATCTTATCGCTCGAACAGAATCTGAATGTTGGCTCCGCATTAAGACAGCATGATCAAATGTAGGACATGAGGAACAGCAGCTTTGGCAGCAATGTTTAATTTGCTGAATAATTAGTGGCCTCATTGACATTTCTACTTTGATTCCCAAAGTACAACACAAGCCGTCCTCTGCACTCAGGCTCTGTGCAGTAAAATGGGCTAATAAACTTCCCGTGCCAACTTCCAGTAAATGACCGACGACGAAGCATCCTGCAAGCAGCTTAAGACACTAGATTTAGTTCCAAAACATGGACACAGGACTTGAAAAAAATATATATATATATATTTTACAGAAAAAACACCCCACAGAATTTAAGAAAAAGTTTGTTTTCTTTCCTACATTTGTTAATTTTGCTTTTGGAATTGTGAGGAGAGGGAGGGAGGTAAAATAATAAGAAACAGGAAAGGGGAAGTGGAAGCAGAACACAGCAGACCGAGGGAGGAGACAGAGTGAGCGATAATACAGAGCGATGGAGACCATGGAGGATGGGGCCACAGGAGCAAGGCCAGAGCCAAGGGGAGGCCAGAGAGTGAACACAGCTTGGGGAGCGCCTCTGTCCTTGAGATCTAGGTCCTTTTCCTTCACCCTTCCACTAGGATTCCTTTCCTTAGAGAGCCCAAGACATTCTCCAGCCACTTAGACCCATCCACTGTGGACAGTCCTGCAATATGTTTGAGGGACTGTTCAGTCTGGGAATCAACAGGGGCTGGGGCCCTGCAAGCCGACTGCGGGGTGGTATTTGCCTGGTGGCAGAACTTCCTGGCTGCGTTTGATGCCTAGTTGTTTGAATTGTGATGAGCTCTAATATCTTTGCCCAGGTCAGAAGCTGTCTCTGAGGGAGCCAGTTGTTGAAAAACAGGCTTCAGCTATTTTCTCATTGTTTCAAAAAACTCATTTGGAGCTTCCGTAGTGGGGAGCTTAATGTGAAACCGTAAATCTGAGGCGTTCTCAGATGTGGAGCTGTGTGGTTTAGTGCTTCAGTTTTGAGACTTTGTCGATTTGGTTATGAAAGCTGCGTGACCTTGAGCAAGTCCACTAAAAGGGCCAATATTCCAACAGCTCCGGGAGACACACTCACATTGTCCTTTTTCTCTGTGAATGGAGCCCCCCTCAGCCAGCAATCGGTACTGCATAATCCTCCAGGGCTGCTTCAGTGCCTGTCTACAAAATCAGGGGGTTGGACAAAAGGATAACATGAGTTTCTAGTCAGAACAGCTTCGTATTAAGAGAAATTCCCATAGTCCAAGAATGGGGATAGGAGATTCTGAACAACAACAACAACAACAAAAGAGCCACAAAGTTTCCCTGGAATGCACATGGTTGCTGGAGTGTGCAGCCATCACCGGCATGTCCAGGGATTGGCCACACCAATACATTTTTCTGTGAGAACATGTCCTTTACCTACCAATAAAAGTGAATGAGAAAATGGGGTTCACTTAATTGAAATTCACTTTCCAGCCAGCTTTGCCACAGTGGGATTCACATCCTGGACTGCAGCACAGGCCTAGCCCCTGGATGGAAATCATTTGACCTTTACTGAAAGCCTGCTATGCACCAAGCGTCATGCCTGGTACTTTTGATTTATTTTTATTTTATTTTTTGCTAGGTGCTTTAAAAAAAGTACTATATTTATTTATTTATAGTTTTTATTTATCTTTCTCTGACATTGATTCCTTTTTAAAGAGTCTTTTTAAAAATTGTGGTAAAACCTACATAACATAAAATTCCCCAGTGCAGGCTGCCCTGGAAGGGTGAGGCCTTGGACCAAGCAGCTGTCTGCAGCAGTGGCAGATTCACTGCCCCAGCCGGCAAGTGGGGCTCTCCCGGAGGGATTGGGGTGGTAAATTTCTATGCCCACTGCCTTACCATCACAACTCCTTCTTAGGTAATATTATTCTTATAGCTGAAGAAACTGATGCTCAGAGAGAATAAATGACTTGTCTGAATGTAACACAACCTGTTAACTGTACAGCCAGGAGCATCAGATCCTAATTCTAATGAGCACTTTCATCAAGTTTTTGCTGGGGGGTGAGAGACGAGCAGGAGAGGGATCCAGGGATGCATGGCAATGCCCAGTGTACAGAGCATTCACACTATTTTGGGGACACACACACAGAAAAAGTGCTACAACAGAAATCTGATCCAATGTAATGGAAGGACTAGGGGAGGACCTGTAAGTTGTGTCTGGCGAGCTGGGGACACCTTGCAGAAGTGGCCTTCAAGTCGTGTCTTGAAGAACGGTTAGGGGTTTGTTGGGTGTGACGGAGAGGGAGGGTTTGCTTACAGCTTGTGCGAAGGCTTGGTAAAGGAGCGTCTGGTGCTGTAGCCGGACATAGTCTGGCTGCGTGGTGGCCGGGGCCTCCTGAGAGAGGTAAAGTGTGGAAATGCCAGTGGGGCTCCTGGTGGCCGGTGGCCAGAGCTCCTTCACACTAGGCTAGGAGGAGCATCACAGAGCTCTCCTGGAAACTGCTGCATAAATTCCAGTTCCTGGAAATCCAGCGGAGGAAATGGATGTGCTCCTTTCTTCATTTGGGGGTTTGGGTATTAACACAGTTTTCCCAGGGAATTTAAGCCAGAAGTTCATGTTGGTTTTTATGTTCTTCCTCCCATGGAACTCAGAAGAGCCCATTAAAAAAAAAAAAAAAAATTAAGCCAGATGCCTAGAGTGTGCATTCTTCTGAAGGAACTCCGTACCCCAAAGCCGTCTGAAACGGCATGTTCGTTTTTCTCTTGACTCTTTTACTGTGTCTGAATAACTAAGGCAAGTTGATTCATTATTTAACAACAAAACAAAACCCAGCCAAATCAGCTATTTGGCGTTATGTGGACGAAAACATCTGGTCCCTTTTCACTGAATTTCTCTCCTTTAGCTAGGCATTTTAACGTCACGTGATGGTTGGCGTTTAGTCTCCCTTGTTTTTCGTAAGCTGGAGTTTTCAGCATATCAACTCTCTTACTTATGTAATGAAGGGAATCTCTGAAGTTCCTCCCAGGGCTTAGACTAATCTCTGGGACCATGTCCAGTTTTCTGTATGTTTACATGTTGCACACACAGTATGAGAGAGACATTGATTTTGACCAGTGGAGAAGCCTAACACAGTTACAAGGTTTCCCCCCGATAGGTAGGCACAGGTGACTCGAGAGTGGGCTTTCTACTCTATATGATAATACAAAGCTTTGTCTTTGACTTAAGGTTCAGCAGTTATACTCAGGAGACTGTGTCCCCTCTGCCCTTTCTGAATGGGTTGATTTCTGAATCAGAGCTCTTATGGGAGAAAAGCACCTGGAGTTGGACGAATTCTGCCATAAGCCGGAGCACAGCTCTGCCCTTCCCTTTGTAAGGCCAAGGGGAGAGGGGCCAGGACCCGATAGTGTGTGTTCCCTCGTCAAGGATGGCAGGCTGTTTACAGACACCCAGGGCTGCCTTCCCTCCTCAGGCCCCAGGCAGGGCTCTGGCTTGGGGACGGAGGCCTGGCTGAGTGCCTAGGGACCAGGAGAAGGGCAGAGGAGGAGATGAAAGAGGTGAAAAAGTGGCCGGTTTTCAAAGCCCAGGGTGCATAGTTTCTCAAACGTTTTAAACTGTTAATTCGCACCTCTAGTCATTATCAATACTGTAGCCAAAGGGGCTTCTTTTGGTGTTGGCATCTGACAGTATTTTAGGCTTTTGCTGCTCCTCTGACTTTTCCACAAGGGCGTCTTCATTTTAAAAGGGTGTCTTAGTGTCAACAATAAAAATAAGCCTAAAAAATAATTGTTGATACAAAAAAATAAATAAATAGAAGTGCATCCGGAACCAGTCCTAGACTTCCAGGCCGGCTGCCTGGCGCCCAGACGGGCTCAACAGATGTTTGTTGAATGAATAAAGAAACGAATGAAGTGATTCTCTCGAGAAAGTTCAGCGAAATCTTTACTTTTAGCAAGGTGGTTAAAAAAAAGAAAACAAAAGTGCCTTGGGGACTTTTACTTATAGTCTCTGCATTTGAAAGGAACATCTGCAAATTGATTTTAGAGCTTTTTGAAGAAACTCTCAACCGAAAGCTACCTGAAGTGGAACGTTCATTTTCCTCCTGGTTCTAATGCCGCGTTTGCATAACGGGGGCCGCTCAGCTCAGTGGCTCAGAAGCAAGGGGCCGGATCCTCCGCGAGCCCCTCGGGCCGTGGATCCCATGGATCCCATGGATCCCGCTCTGGGCTGGACTAGTCCAGGGGACCAGACCGGGGAGATGCGCCTGCCGCGGGCAGGGCCCCGAGGTGCGTGTCCTTGGCCTGGCCCGGGCGCCGACTTCGGGGCTGGAGGGACACAGGGGCCGGCCGGTCCCCGGGGCGGGGAGAGGGCCCCGCGCAGGTGTCGGGCCTGTGCGCCGGGTGCGCCGGGGGTGCTCGGGGCCTGGGAGACCCGAGAGGGACGTTATTGTTACACTGTAACGAGTCTGATTAACATGCTCCTGACACTTTCTCTTAGTTTCTTGGGCTCCTAGCAACAGCGCACAAAGGCGCGGGATTGTCCCGGGCTCCGCGGGGACACGGGGCAGCCTTTGATCTGCCACCATTACAGCGGGGCTGCGCGACAGGCTCGCAGGCT